TGGGACACTGGTGGAGTGGAGCGAGTTTGAGGGTCCGATTCGGTGATTGCTTAGCTGCTTGTGAAGGATCTGTCCCTAAAACTGGTAGAGACGGAAGGTGAGTTGCTGCTTGGCATGCCAGTGTAAAAGCAATGTTGTTCGATTCGATTGTTTATCCACCAGTTCTATCATTCATTCGATATGCCATGTATTTATTATAATGTATTTAACTAATTATTATTAATAGAAGATAGTAATTGTATTAGTGTTTAAATAATGAAATATTGATAATGAAAATTGTGGCGAAAAGAAAAAAAAAAGAAGAAAAAAAAAGAAAGTATTTATTATATGTAATGGTCAAATAAATCGACTTTGCGGAGATATCCAGAACGGGTGTGCGTCTTCGTTCGATGCTGTAAATAGTATGTTTGAATGGGGTTTTATTTCCTTCAATAGTGATTAGCCCTTTATGATTGTCGTCGGCCTATTTACTATTCTGTCGGCACGCCCAAGATATATATCATCTTTGGTCTTCGCGAGTAAATTTCCATTGTTGTTAATAGACAAGTTTTAAAAAACATTTTCTCGACAACCATCAAACTAAAACGAATCAAACGTTTGTCATTAATTAAGTGTAACTCAAGCGTTATTTTACTAAGCGAAGCGAATGTAATCAGAGGTTGCTGAAATAATTGCCCTGTATGTATCAAAACTTTTTGAACCCCCACGTTGGTACAGCGTTTTTTATTATTATATTACCATATATTCCTAAAACCATGCACTTCTTCATAATCATCACCTTCAATATCTACGAAAATATCATTCTCCTTGTCGGTTTGATCAACGCTAATGTTGTCTAATCACTCACTATCAAATATCAACTCATACTCCGTTCCATCCTCCTTAACAGAAATACCCGCAACATTTGAATGCGCCTCTAATAAGTTCACCATCGATTTTACCCCATGCCTCGAATCGTCATATTAAAGTAAGCTAAGTTTTATTCGTGTTCGTTACAGCCAATAAAATAGCGATTTACATACTCCTATCATAATACCCCTAGTATAATACCACTATCCGATCAAAGTACCACCCCGTGTATAGTACCCCATGGTACACGAGGTTTTGCAAAATACCACTGGTACTTTAGTCTGAGAAATACGGTACATGCTCTTCTTTTTGATAGTAGTGTTGTACGAGGGTAATGTCGGTGTAGTAGTAGTTATTACTGTATAATCGTATCGTATTACCAAGGAATTTCACGAAGATCTTTCGTACAATATACGACGAAGCTAGTGATTATCAAAACATCTGCCATTGGAAAGACATGTGAACGCTAGTGGGAATATTTTCCAATCGTAAGCTTGTTAGTTGTTTTTTATAGAATGCATTCTCGAATCAATGTCAGATAATGTTATAAGGTTTCTATTGATCCTCATCACTTTGACAGTACTAAGGTGAAAGGCTTGGCTCACACCGATTCTGTTAACTGAAGCGCGAGAATGTAGTGTAGAGAAATTGTTTGCATAATCCTCAAAGACTACTTTGACAATATTAATACTTCTTTATTTCGATTTTATTTGAATTGCTTCTGTGCTGATGTGCCGCTAAATGTTCTAAGTTTACGAGGCTTCGGCTGCAATTGCAAGCGTTCAATGAATTGCATATAGCTTAGTTTATACAGATACAGAATTTCTTGAAGTATATACGGCGTTTGTGGAGCTGTGATTTGTCTACTCATCTCTGCGTCGATAAACTCATAAGCTAAAAGGTTCTTAATTTTCATTAACTAGTGTTGCGTACACAAAACCCATTCTTTGAGAATAGCCTAACCGAAAATGCGGAGATTCAAAAGGCCGCTATGACATTGGAAGATGTGTCACCTGATGTTTTTGAAGGTAAATCTCATAGGTTAAAACATGAATAACATTCTGAATTATCAAATCAATACAACTGTTGTGTCTGAGTTTAGGACCTGTCTCAATTCAGAACCCAGCCAGAACTCAGTTGTTGCAGTTCCAAACCCAGACATTCAGTCCAGAACTCAGTTGTCTTGTTCCAGAACTGAAAAAGTCCCCAACTGAGTTACAACAATACTAATACTATAACTAATGCTCATTACAACTTAAATCTAATATTGCTTCTTTTGTAGGTTCATCTATACTGGGCAAATTTTCTATGATTCATGCAAGCATGCAGGTTGGATTAGTCTTTTGGATGGAGCTAGCAAGTTTGAAATGCTTGATCTCTCATTGCAGTTGAAGTTTATTTGATTGAGAAACAAAAGGAATGGATTCAACATAATATTGTCACAGTTCATAAGTGTGCTCCCTCTACTACTCCTTTGAAAGAGCTTCTGGGTTATTGCAATCAAATAATCATTTCACACCCATATTAATAAAAAGGTTTACAAAAAAAAAACGCAAAATAATTATTTAAAGACAAAAGGATTTTTTAAATCACAGTGAGATTAGACATTAATTTGTGTTTAGAAATCTCATTAATAAAGCTGAAATAAATAGTTTGTTTGTATTAAATTTTTTTGTCCAGATATTTTTGCCTTTTGTTTTGTAATGGTACATCATTATTCTGTTTTCTTTTCTTAATATTCATTCTCCTTGATAAATTTCATAAGTGGGTTTCTCTTGATCTAGATATTCCCGGAGTGTTTAGGTATCATTAGGTTTAAAAATATATGGAGCAATATTTTCTCCTTGAGCTTTTTAGAATGCTTCTAATAGTGCTGTAATTCTTCGGTTCCATAGTGGACTTAATGTAAATGAGTTTCATATTTATATTTTTATGGATAGAGGTAATCCTAAATTAATATGAACATTAATTACATTATGCCATGATATTAATTTAAAACATAAATGTGTGATAATCAAAATGTCATCAAATTAGTTAACTTTCATTCACATCAGCCTCTCATTCATGCCACATAACAGAATGTTCACTTAGTCTGGTTTTGTTGCAGCATGCCCCAAATCCAAATGGGTTCATCACAAGAATACCAAAGGGGTTGAAAATGCAGTCATATAGTCTGATGTTTTATGTGTGTCAAGTGTTTTTTCAAAACCAAAACAATAACTGAATAAGGCATTAAAATTCGTGTATTATGCGTAATTTTGTACGGTTAGTAAATTTGGGTGTGCAAGAATCTGAGATGATGGGACCAAAAATTTTAGCTGGAAACCGTCTCGGTCCAGACACTGAGGTACAACAATATATAATATTATTGGGCCAACTCATCGCCAAACACAATTAACGTGTTTCGCTGCTGTTATTGTTTATTAATTTAAAACTCGTGAGAGCAATCGGTTCTCAATCATTAAAATATACAAACCAATGGTAGTATTACAATTCTACTTGATTCAAAATTACGTCTAAAATAGCCCCCCAAAATACCAAATGATCGAACTAAGCCCAAAGATAAAGATGCTCATAAAGTCCCATTTAACCTTCATGCCTCCATTAACCGTGATCACGGTGGTAATAGCATTGGTTGTCGTTGGTGTGCCGCTCGTTGGTGTGCCGGCCGTCGGTTGCGCTGCGGCCGACGTCGAATTTGCTACTGGTGGTGGTGTACTACTGGAAATAGGTTGGTTGTCAAACGAGACAATAACATTGGCGAAGGATGTGACCGAATTCGGGTTTATCACAAGAACGCAATAGATAGCGCTTATAGAGAGTGGACCCAGATTGCCGCCTTTAGCACAGACTTGTACACGATCGACAAAGCTTTTCACGTTTGGAAAAAAAAAGAGCATGAACGTTAAGCAAAGTGTATTTCTCGTTTTATCCCCCAATTCGAACCAAAATTATCCTACCAACCAGGAATAGGTAGGCAAGTACGAATTAACGTCGTTTATCAAATACTTGTTAAGATCGGTCTGAGTCATGGCAGCACTGAGAAGGCCTACTGAAGTTGCAGTAATTATGGGACTTGTTTGCTGAATAGCGCAACATTGCCAAAGCCCGCCGTGGGAGTGACTGAAACATTTGAGTATGTGGTAACATAGCCTGATTGGAAAGAGTGAGTGAAGAAATCAGTGCAAGTGATTTGGAAGCTTGAAGATGAATGAAACCGTGGTAGGATACTCACTTATTATAGTTGTTGGTTGAGCGGAGCAAATATACCTTTTTTGGGATGCGATCGATCGATCGATAAGGTTAGATACTGATACTTTCAACTCCTATTTCTTCTTACCATGTGCTTCCTACTGGCAATGAAATACTGTCTGTTTGAATGGCACCACTCGTTATACTCGCCTAAATGCAATTAACGTTAGAAACCAATCCAAGCATCGTATTTTCATCGAACTTGGCCATTCATACCATAACTAATAATAGCAAGAGACTCTTTAGTAAGTGCTGCATACTGTGTGATAGAAAACTTATTAAGTTTAATGTCTTTAATCGTTGTCCTTTATATACGACGAGCGTGAGGAAAGTCCTCCATTTTGCGCTCCTTTTATTACGAACAAGTATGACAACAGCAACTGAAATGAAATGCGCGAGGTATAATAAAATTTGTGCATCATGCGAAAATCTGTTATTAGAGTGTTACGAATTTATCAGCTGATTTTTAGCCACAATATTTATATATAGTCGATGTAAGAGATAATAACACTCGGCAAACTTCTTCGTAACTTAGCTAGCGAGTGATCAACTAAGTCACAGCGATTGACATTCTCGTGACTCCCGTAATACTTAAACCGAAAAGATTATCATACGTCGACATAATAGATGAACAAGTGCTCTTATTCTAATACAAGGGCGTATCCCAAACAGAAGATAAAGGGTTCAGGTCTTTTCTTTCGGAATGCTAGTTCGCATGCAGTAGCTCAATGTACTGATTTATCCGACGTGTTACACAGTACAATCCGACGTGTAGTACAACATTGGGTGTGTGAAATTTCTACGATTATGTCACTCTGACGTTTAAAGTGGCTGCAAAGGTATAATAAGGTATTTTTATTACACTAACGGTATGGGCAGTGAAATATTGCATGCTATTATAATTATTTCTTATACGCTAGTGTCAAACATTCCAAAGCTACAGTGATAAGTATATTTTACTGATATTAACATTAACAGTCTATCATATACGTGTGTTGCCTACTCCCGACCACGGCTACTCATTTTCAGTCTTATAAATTGTGTCTTTACCAATTGTAGTAGCAAGTTGTATGACAGAGCGACCAGTTTGATTGATGTACAGTATATGTGTTCAATATCATATCAATGCAAGCTTTAAACGACGTCTATGCGGGTCAAATAGATCGGGCTGTAATAGTGAATAAGTGATTTATAATGTAAATGGGCTAAACATTTGCCAATAGTGCTATGGGCTTAAAAGAAGTTCTCAGTTCTGTTATTGGTTCACATTTATTTATCATGTCGAAAGCATATTTTTTTTTTCTTAAGACAGACCATGGTTTTCAATCTGTTTGTTGAACTCTCGTATAAAATCTTATAGTAGGAACGCAAATGGTATATGGTTGCTCGCATTGTCTATGCAGACTCCCTTGAATAAACAGATCGACAATGCAAAATTTTAATTTATAGTGAGATCTACGGATAAATGAGGACATATTAAATTGCATCAGATATGCAAGTGTTGCATAACGATGAAATCATATGATTGATACGGTTGAAGAAAATCGTATGATTAGTACTAGTAATTATCACTCAGAATTTGAAAAGCTATTCGCATTTGAGTAAAATGCCATTGCTACGATTAAGCATTAGTCACACGAAAACCAAAATACGTGTTGTACGATTGAAAGAAATCGTATGATTAATAGTTAAGCAATAAAGTCTTATAAATCGAAATCGTATGATTAAGCATTAGCAATATTTGTCAACTATTCTTGAATCTACCACAAATGCGTTTCTATTGAGACTCATAATACGAATATGTTCCCATTTAGGACATCTACTAATGGCAACGTAAGCTTGACCTGTGAAAATAACTGACTAAGGTTTAAAGAAATAGTAAGCAAAGTAAGACTTTGAGTCGTATGTACAGTCAAAGAAAATGCATTCTGCAATGGAAATTGCGTTCGTGAAGCCCGTTGACCGTTTATATAGAATAGGACGTCTCTCTGGCAATCCATTTGTGAACTATAGTGCCTTGGATACAAAAAGCAACTTGAACACTTGGTATATTTTTGTCGAGATCTGTAACTACACCTACAGTTCCATTACATATTCCATCTTCAATAAGCGAGTTGTTTAAATACATAACGCGTTCAGCTTGTTGAAGTCTGATAGCGGGCGACATGTTAGTTTTTGATTTAAATTCTGTCTGGGAATTTTCAGGTTGTAGTCGTTTCCCTTCCATGAAGTCTATGGCTTCAGCTAACAGATATTTATCACCGTCGACAGGATGATCTTTTACTTTGAAAAAAAAAAAAACAGATAAATTTAATATTTATATTTAATTAAATCCATATTAAATAGGATGGGTATAATAATTGTGGGAACGTATTTATTATAATTGGTATTAATAAAATTATGCATAAGACTAAAACAAAATATACATGTGTTATATTTATTTATTCGTTTTTTAGTATTTTTTGTGATTTCTTCGTTGTTAACTTTCCTTGCTCACTTGTAACTGAACTGTTATTGTTTGAAAAATCGTCAGTAGATTGGATTTTGAAATCTCTGCTATTTTAATTGAGTTATTTTTTCTTTTTGCGGAAGACATAGTTTTCGTCGGTAATGATTGTGTACTCTGATTTTGTTGTATAAGAGCTATTCTTTTTTCTAACGTCGATTTAGGTTGTGACGCAGATTTTTCTGTGTCCTCTAACTTCCAAAGCACGACAACATTAGTATTTGCTTCCTGCTTTGTCGAAATTCCATGATTTTACAATAAAAAATATTTTTTAATGGAAAAAAGTATCCCAGTTGCATGAATGGTCGAATTTTTTTTGGCTTTGGTTAATGCATTGTGAAATCGCCCATTGGAAAAATGTGTAAGAGCGATAATGAAAGGATTAAAATAGCCTTTTGACAGGTACGGTTTCGCTTGTAAATTCAGATTGTGACCTATTTCCGACAATTCTGCGTTGTTCAAATTTTGCCAAGCAGATGAACGATAGGTTGGCAGATTGGTATGTCTTCCTTATCGATTGGAAGACATATACTTGTTGTAACCACCACATTTAAAGAACTGTCTTGATTAAGGGAAAATTTGCCGGATATCAAATAAACTGCTTCTTCATTTAAAGGTTGTACAATTTCATTATCCGCATCAGGAAAAATATCGTCTGAATCGTGAGACAAGTCTCGTATTAGTACGTAATTAAAGTATTTATATATCTGGAATCCATCATCGCTATCGATACGAGAAATTGCGGTGCCTTTTGCAAGACAACATTATTAAGATTTTCTTCTGATACTATACAATAGCCGTAATGTTTGCAATAATAATTGTATGAAAAGATGAAAAAGTATATTATTATGTGCATATGTGATTGTTGAATAAAGGTCCGGGTCACTTGCCCGACAGTTACTTGCCCGACAGTTTTATTATCACGTTTGTAATGCCTTATCATAATTGGGCCAATGATTGTCGGGCAAATGACTGTCGGGCAAGTAAACGCCTCCCGTTGAATAATTGGTTGAATAACAATATAAGAATGGAAAGGTATATAATTATGATTTTTGAATGATAATGTAAGCGATGATTCTTTTTCTTAATGGGAGAAAAGTGGTGATCTTTATAGGTTTTTTGAATAAATTGGAATAAATAAATAATGTACACCTAATAGACATCTCAACCAAAAGGTTTATATTGTAATAATTTGAATATAATAGAGATTATTGGAAGACGCCAGTTGGCGGTTAATTTAACTATTACAATGATTAAGGTAAGGGAGTGACCAAATTTGGTTTCAACAGCTTGGGTGATTTACGCCAACGTGCGAGGTGATGCGCAATATGATCGACGAAAAACTGGTGATCAGTTTAAGTTATTGTTTGAAGGAATTATATCCGAAAGATGTTGCTGCGTCTCGTTGTAAGTGATCCAATATACTCACAAAGGGTAGAAGATAATCTGTCAATTTTTTAAGATGATTTCAGAAAACGGTGTTATCAATCGCTCTGCGTACATTATCCGATAATGTATTCGAATTAGGATGCATAATAGAATATGACCAGAGAGCACGTCTGCTTCGCAACAAACTTGCAAAACAAAATCCACCGTGTTGTTATTGGACGAATAAAGCTGTAAGTTGTATTGTATATGCGTTGTTGTTCAGCACGCAAATTTCCGATACTTTACTGTGACGCTTGTCGGTAAAATATGCCACTACATCAATCGCATCCTTTGCTGTATCTGTAATAATTGTTCCAATACGTGTGTTTTGATTCTCTGCCCCCTGCAAAAACGCACGCATCGTTCGCATCACATCCGGTGTTTTCTGACTCTCCATACTAATATCCTCGGCACCCCAGATGTATATTTGATTTGATGGAGATAACAAAACTGCACCCAATACTTCCTGGCAACGAAACGTTTTTCCACCCATCGAACATTAACGTAACAGGTTCATTGGATTTTTGTAATTCTAATCTCCAATTTTTCTGCACCTCTACGAGGACTTTATTGCTAAGTTTCTGTCGTGTTGGAATTTTGACCAAAGGATTGAATCTATTTTGAGGTGAGTTTCTCAGTGATTAAGAATGCATGATGGAAGAGACTGTGAGAATTTAGCGGTAGTGAAATGGTTGAGTTATTTGGTCCAGAATGGTGGATTTGGAGTAAAAGCTTGGGAAGATTAATTTAGCTGAGCAGATTTGGCATTCAAGTTTGAAATTTGGAAAAGAAATGCCACCATGGGAAATATATATGAAGTGCCCCAAATAAATTTGTTAATTATGTTTTGAAGTCTGGAAGTGGGGGCAAATAGGAGTGTAGTACCAGAGTAAGGATTTGGATATTAGGATTTTACCTTTGAGAGGTAAATTATGAGAGGACAACAGATTAGAGTGATTGATAAGCTTATGCTGGAGATTGGACCAAAGAGAGTTAGTGTTTAGAGAGTTAATAGGGAGGTTGAAACTGAGGATGATAAGACTTGATGAAATAGGAGGAGAGTTGGGACAAATGTAAGAGATGATAGGGGATGATAAAGGGGTCACGTTACATCGAGAATCATCGGTGATCATTCGAGTGTAACGTATGTTTATGTTCTCCATAGTAATAGGAGCAAAATTGAACACATAATACAAATGTAGCAAGCATTATTAGATGACTATTTTATTTACCCCAATAGCATTAAGCAATTTATTTAAAGATCATATGCTTTGATAAGGTGATTACGATGATCATGATTCATCCATAATCTTTACATCACGTTACATTTTTATAAGGTCAGATGCTGTGTTGCCGGTTTAACTCCCACACAAATAATGTGTGTGATTATTTATCCATCCAATAAAATAAAAGAATTGTGCCTTTCCATTACGATGAGAATACATAATACAAGTGGCGTGATAACTGGTGATCATGTTATCCATCCGAGAATTACGTTGTACATTGATAAAGTGATGCCTATTTCAGGAGTGTTTCACTAAAATTTATCGATTTTTTGTTGAATCTGAAACATATATAAACGCCTGTCCTCCCTAATTGAATTGAAATTGAAATTGAAATCGATTATTTTTTAAATTAAAAACAGTCCGTCTTTTGCTGCATGACGCTAACCAAATTAATGCCCTCTTCGCACCATATTTGTATTTGTTGTCAGGTATATAATTACCAATCATAAAAGTCGACAATATGATAGTGCCAGTCAGCTGATGGTTACATCATATGCATTGTGATCTGTTATTAGTGTTAACTTGGCTAGTTTTTTACAAAATACCATTTTCGTCCATAAAACAACTTGAGGGAAATAATTTTACTTCTGAGGCAAGCGTTCTCAACTATCAGTTACCTGCCTCGTTGTACGTGACTTTTTTGACTTGTCTTTAATGCGAAAGCCTTTGGAAGCTGATTCAGCATCGTTTAACGCTATATTCAAGGTCTGCTTATGAATACAAGTTTGTAGAGAATTTGAAGAGTGAGTTTTTTATTATAGCTTGAACATTTCAAATCTGATGACAACTCGCTATTTGATTTTCCTTATCGTGATATTCACCACGCACGCGTATGTGAAAATAATATAAATTAAAATTTGTTGGCGAAGAGATTTTCTGCATTGAATGATACAGGTCAGTTTTGTATACAGACATACAATAAACTTAAAATATATTGCTTTTAACGCCAATACAAAAATTTTTTTATACAAGTTACTGTAAATAAGCGGCAAATGGATCATCGATTATTGGTTGTAATATTAAGATCTCCGTCTGTCGTATTATCTTTGCTAATTCTTATGTTCAATCGATAGGCCATTATTTATTAATTGTTTCAGGAATATGGAAACACTAACACCTAGAACAGAACGAAAATTTACTCCTATTTATATAAAAATTGTTATTGTGCTGTCAATAATCAACTGTAATGTCGTACTCTATCGTTAGGGAAAACTCGCTCCGTATTGATAATATTTACTGGATATAGCCTCTTCAAATGGAGAGAAAGTTTAATTCAATAACGTGTTTTGCATAGCAAAAATAGTATGGTTCTCAACGAAGACAAACAAATAGCTGGTAACTTTCCATATTGCTGTAATGTTGTTGACACATCGAGGGGTAGTCGCTTCAATAACATGCGCGTATTAATAGAATTTACTTGTCAGGCATGGCCGTAAGAAGCCATTTCAATCAAAAATTAACATTTTAAACAATCCTATTACTATCGCGTATTAGTGGATCGGTGATGGAGAATAAGTACCAGCATCTAAGCAAAAAATATATTGTAGCTTTTAACTCCATTATTTCGTTATTATTGTTCAGAATATAATGGCAAGCACCCAAGTAAGAATTCAAACACGCTTGCCTTCAATATCAATTCTTACTATCACGGCGGCAGTCAAATTTAACTAACCGAGGCAGTTGCAATATGAGTGCGTATGCCGAGTCAATAAGCGAAATAAATGTCGAGAAATTGTATGCCGAGCATGACATTGGACAATAAGATACTTGTGCGCTTTAATTCTGTCCTTGTTTGATGTACTGTATGTCGGTTGGTTGGGATATGTGAATTGTAAATCGCAATATTATGCAAAGTTGCTTGACTGTGAATATGCGTGTATAAAAGTTTTTTAACGCAATATTATTCTCAACACAAACTGGCGATCAAGGCTGTTATCATGGTAAAATAGTTGACTAAGTATATTTTTCTGGATACATATGTCCCGACGCAATATTTTTTTGACTCACATATTTGGTGTCGTAAATTAGTCATAATAATCATCCTAACATATTTAACCAAGGTATATTAACATGTAAGTGATTATGTGTGTACTGCAATGCGATACAACAACTATACCGAACATCATCAACTACGATTCATACGTAAGAATCACTTCTAAAGCATTATTTAATATTCCCTGATAATGCGCAGTAGCTGCGGATTACAAATGGAAGTTGTCGAGTCATTGTTTCTGTGCTGTACGTATTGGTATATGTCTTTGGGTAGCTAACTGAATGAGCATGTTAGCGTCATTTTAGACAATCTGTTATATCATTTATTGTTGTCATTGTTAATCAATAAGAAACACGGAGAAGAAGTGTCTAGTAGTGCTAAGCGATTGTCCGCAGTCAGTGTTGCAGTCAGTGTTGCACACCGTGAAAGATCCGATATCTTTTTTATATTAATATGGTGCACAAGTTGGAATATTTGGGACAGCTTTATGCGTTTTTTATGGTACGGATGACAAAAACATTCCCTTTTCAGGTTAGAAACCGTTGCACTTTGCAGAATTGTACAATGCACGTTTTTGAAAGACAAATGAAAAATCAAAAAACATGCATGCAATCTAAAACGAGGAGTATTACACAACAGGGATAACAATATAAAGTTGGATTTTCTCATCCGAGAATCTCATTCTACCAACCCCGAACATAATTCAGTTGTTAATTATCAGTTCCCATCCCATCCCATCCCACGCACACACATATTATGATCAACCGGTTTCGCCATCTCTTGCTATTCGTTCTTATTTTTTGTTCATTTACAGGAATTTGGACTTATACAGTACAATTGTACGAAACGACTGCTGAGAATCTTTATTTCATTGCAACCTCAAACCCTACTAAGTATGGCTATACGTACCCAAACGGCACGGGGATGATGCAATTGGTATTGCGCAATCAGTCTGACGACAACTTGTTTATACGTCTGCTACATCCAAACGACACGGTTACAAAATTTTCAGTATCGTTAGTTTGTGATACTGATACCGATTGCTTAAGGCATGCTTATCCGCTTAACGACGGGTATACGTTCGCAATTCAGAAAAGTGCCAACAAAAGCGCATACGGGACGTTGATTGATTGGAGTGGGCAGGTGTTGCAACGGTAAGGGGTGTGGCTGATAGATGAATTTATAGTAAGATGTATCGAAACTAATGTTATTTCGATATTCGTGGATAGTAATGTGACCCTTACTGATGTTCCCGTCGACGGTCAATCGTTGCCACTAGTAAAAGTTAACGTCAACCCGGATAGGGATTTTCTTGTAGCAACTAGAAACGGAAATACCGTTTTATGGAAAATTTTCAATGCGCCGTAAGTAAACGCGATTGCAACCACTCGATAAGGCATTTGATTAAACCTTATTTACTTTTAAATAGCAATAACACGGGTCAAATAACCCAATTGTACGGAGGCAGCATCATGGGAACTAATAACTACATTCTGGTCGATCACGAAATCTTTCCTACCACAGAAGGCGGTTATGGTGTAGCTCTTTTAAAACGTATACCAACATTCACTCAGGATCCACGCAACACGAAAGTATTCTGCTCTTTTCCACAATGGCTCTTGTATGTTACATTCTTGCAACCTGGTTCTTCACAATTCGACACGCCCCGTCTAGTTTGGCAGAACCCCAACCCACTTGTTGACACATACTTTTCGCTAAAGGGGTGCGAAGTGGCTGTCGACGGATCAGGATACTTTTGTATTATACAGATTCCTTCCGAGGATGGTGTTCATCAATTTGCGAATGATTATATTGCTTGGGATTATGTGAGAGTAGCATTCCTATCTAGCGGTTCTGTAACCGAAATCAACGTGATAGCAGCTAGTGCAAACACTGACAATCGAAAAGAAGTATATGGAATACGGCAACTGCCGTATGGCGGATTTCTGTTTCTAGAAATTATTGTGAATCGTAACGATATTCCCACGCCTGTTCCTGAAGTATCTGTCAGGGATAAAGATGGAGTAAATATCCAGACCTTTGGGTTGCCAGACCCTTATCTTGGTGATTTTGCAGTATTTCCGAATAACACTGTGTGGATAGGACAAGTTCAGGACGGAAACTTATCCGCAATTTTAATACCCCTTAACAAGTTATTGCAGGAAGGTGAGTACTTCTTATAATCTCAGAGTCTGTTTAGAGTTATTGACCACGTGTATTACATCAATGTCTTTTTACACTTTAATAATTGTCACACTCTTATGCCCTTCAGACGCTGGATTCAAGAACCTTCTCGTGAATTCGTCAATTCCGCCATCAGGCTCCTCTGTATCTTCTGATACTCCAAACATTACATTGACATTCAGGGATCAGATTGCTCTTTCGGTGCAAAACATTTCAATTTACCAAGCAAAAGATGATGGAAATTCTATTCTCAGACAGGGATTCAGCGCAAAATCTGGTTTTTGTACGATTGTGTCGTCGAATGACTCGGCGGTTACATGTCAAATATTCAAGAGCACTTTCAATCAGCCTGGTGCTACGTATGATGTCGTTGTGGATAATGATTTCTTAATGAGTAAGAGTTTAAACCAGCCACTTACCGGAGTGACAAAGGGGAATTGGGTGTATTATGGAGGTATGCACTTTACAAACAGTAATGTTCTCTTACTTGTTGAATATTGTTTGCTTACGGTAATCTTATATTTATTAGCCTCGACTGATACTGAAGGAAAATATACAGGTAAAGCATCACTGCCCACGATTTATAAAAAGTGTGCAAGTACAACAGACTGATAGTTTTATTCCTTCTATACGTAATTAGATACCACGGCAGGTCTTTTAAGGTTGACGGCTGAAGGAACGAGTTTATTTGAACAATTATCTACTGATGAGAAGAACTCTTTCTTAGATTCTTTGGTTGCCAAGATTGCTGAGCTCGTCCCTGTTGATCCATCACGTATAACCACCAACAGACGCAATCAACCTGATCCTAATGCACCGGATTATCAGATATTATTTCCCGTCACCCTCAAGTCAACTAGTGATCAATCACAGAGAACAGTACAGCAGATTATTGATGATCTTGATGATTTAATTAAAAACAAGGACTATAACGCGTTTTCACAAGAGTACCCTACTAGTTACCTAGATGAAACATACGGGTTTTCACCTGCTGGTATGCAAATTGCAAAGTTTTAAGCTTCTTTTTATTATTTTGAATGCTATAACTAATACGCTATCGATGGAACTTTTCTAGCCAATCTGTGGGATGCTTATAAATTTAAACTAATTGGAGTGTTGGTTGGTCTCTTGGTGTTGTTAATAATATATTTTTTCGCGAGAAGGAAATATCCAGAGGTGAGCTGTCCTACATATACTGTCTTTTGTATAAACGACACGATTTTTAACACCGAAATCATCTTCACCAGGGTCAAAGTTTTATTGTCGTAAAGCTTGCGCTAATACTGGTAGATTTGAGTCTCGACATAGCATTTGTACTTTCAAGCACGAAAAACGTTCCGGAATTACGTACACCAAGGTATTACCCATTTTTAGCTCACGATTATTTGCGAATATGATATATAGTCATCAAATTTAAACTTGTTTATTTTGTTCAATTCCAGTATAATCTTTTTAATAGTCCCTATCATCTTCAATTCTGGCCTGGCATTCTCAATCTTATTGAGGGAAATAAGCAAAAACGCCGATTTTCAAAAGTGGTTTAGTCGGAATGTAAAAGTAGCTTCAATGCTTACTCTGTTAGCAGGTTCTGACGTTGAGGCTATCACTCTACTCGGATCCAAATTTGCTGGCTTGCAGATGTTTTCGGCACCATTGTCAAAGGTTGCACTGAATCAGGTTTTCTGGGGTAGCACATTGAATTTGTTTATTGAAGATATTCCTCAGTTGATCGTTCAGGTATGTAAAGATAACATTGTATAATCACAATGATACGAATTTTATATGCTAACTATCGAATTTGTTGCCATTCGTAGATATTGTATAGACGTTTAACAGTCTCATATGATATTATTCCATTCTTGTCATTGATAATGAGCAGTACCATCTTGACGTCTAATATTATCGGACATGTTTATGATGGATATATAAGATGGGGGGAAAAGAAACAAAGACGCAGCATACCAAAAGATGAAACGCTCGTCACTGCTGATGTACTATCGGAGGAGGGTGAATGAGATAGACTAGGACAAAGCAATCAACATGGCGGTCACCAAGAGCAGACAATTCAACCGATTGTTATATCATGCGCGAACTATCTGATTGCACAATTCTTTATACCTAATACTGTAAATACAAAGAAGGCCGATTGGCACACATATGCCAGCTCAATTCCACAACGGATTGCTCGATAGCTGGTGAGAACACATAGAAATAAGTCAATTCACGGGAAGGGGGTATCATTGTATCATATATCATATTCATTATCATATTACAATTTTATTGCAAAGTTTGATATTTATCATGACCATTGATTGCTCTGAGCAATATGTAATGTATTTAGTTGAAGCTAAAAATTGTAGTCTTTATTAAATAAAATACCATTTACCATTTTTTCAATGATTGCTTCCATCTCTCTTACTAATAACTAAACATCTTTGGATATAGTAGGAATAGCATTCCATCATTTAATCATACACTTTCCACCCTATTTTAAACAATAGCCCAGAGTTAAAGTAAAGAACATTCTTGGGTAGCTTTCACCTTTATATGTTACTTATTTATGTTTTTTTAATGACCTAGACTAAGCATTGATACTTACAGAACTTCCTTAATGACAATTATACATGACATGATTTAAACAAACAATCTCAGAAGAAAGTTTTGTTAATTCAGTGGACTTGCCGTGTACTCGGTCTCACGTAATTTTGAAGTAACCCGACTAGCGAATCATGCCTTGCGTATCAATCAGATTCTCTCGCGAATAATCCAAGTATGTCACTGCTGTTAACAGGGTGCAAACTGAGACTGTAGGAATGATATCGGATGTGGTAAGTTCTTTGATGCGAGAGATGTAAACCAGTAGATAACATGATAAGATAATGATAATATTCCGATTTTTCTTAATGTCCAATATCAGAAGTCAATTTTGAAAAGCATACATATTCCATTACGACTTGAGTTGATACCAATGTCAAAGGCATAAGGGACTATATCTGCACAGTTATTACTGAAGCAGGTGCTTGTTAATTTTACATACATGAGAACTTCCTTCTGGCAATGAATAAAATACCTTCATATTAATCGGATAGACTCGTTGATCTCCAAAGTACTACCTCACAAAAACTGTCAAAGACGGCAGGAATTAATTTACGTCAAAACCAAACCGACGTAATTACGACATCCGTTTAAATTGGAGTTTGATTTTACTGGATGAACATTATAATTAACATGCTACATAATCAAAAAGGGCAGAGCCACCATCAATTTGAGCACAACAAATTCTATCGCCAATACAAGGCTGTTGTGAAAGAGGACGGCCAAAACGCAACCATTATTAGTAGATCGGTCAGAGAGAGGGAGACAACGATAATGAAAGGGCAGAAGGAGAAGAGGGATTATAGGAAGAGACATTCACGGGAAGGCTGATACAAAACCAGCGGGAGTGATAATTGATGTACTAGAAAGTAGCGTAAAATGTTGTAGATGCTTGATTCAGTTTACTGTTATTATGTTATTCGTTAGGCCCAGAGCCAATGGACATAATGTTTTCGACGGTTGGACATGTCTATGATATACGGAACACATTTTTTCAATCAAAGAGGCGCGTGGCAAGAAGATACCTATACTGAAACCTATCATCCCGGATGTATTTGAATAGTTGGATAACACAATTGCAGTATACGATCCATTCCCACCACCTAATTTATCGGCTGCTGTCTTATTAAATGACTACTCTAGTATTGATCTGAAGCTGCGAAGATGTTTAGCAATTCTATATCTTTCTCGGTTACTCTAGTAATAATGATTAATAAATGCTCTAAGCAGAAACAGTCATACTTTATCGAGTATCTACGTTACACATGTGATCGACAAAAGCTGTTTGAGAACTAAGCTCTGTTTGAGATCGTTTAAAGATATAATCGATAAACATCTTTTTTAGACACTGTACAAAATGAATAATATAGTTGATTTGTCATCAGGCCTTTCATCAGACTATGAAAAGCTTTACAAAAGCGGCAAATATACAGATGCTTCAATTTATGTTGGAAAGGCGCCGAATGACAAAATATTTCATGCACATACTTTGGTATTATGCACTAGAAGTACCTTTCTTGAGAATAACCTTGCGGAAAATACAGAGATTCAAAAGGATGTAATTACGTTTGAAGATGTGTCACCTGATGTTTTCGAAATCTTGCTTAGGTAAACTTCATAATTTAGAACATTAGAACAGTGTATATACTGTAAGCTTCACTGTTGACATTCATACTCATACTCACTATCACTGTTAATTCATAGGTTTATTTACACTGGGCAAGTGCCCTATGATTTATGTGAGAATCTGAGTTGGTTTAGTCTTCTGGATGGAGCTAAAAAGTTTGAACTACTTGACCTCCTCACTGCAATTGAAGTTTATTTGATTGATAAACAAAAGGAATGGATTCAAGAGAATATTATCACAGTTCACAAGTATGCTCTCTCCTCTGCCCCTTTGAGCAGGCTCCTGGGATATTGCAATCGAATTCTCGTTTCACACCCAGATATTGTCTTTAAATCAAATAATCTTGCAACCCTACCAAAGGAGACTTTGATCACTCTCCTCAAAAATGATGAGCTTAGCATGGATGAAGATGATATTTGGATGTCAGTCATTCAATGGGCTACCAAACAAGTGTCTGAACTAGAACTTGGAACTGATCCAGATGAATGGTCATCTAGTGACAGTAACACAGTCAAAGATATTATAGCAGATTTTATACCTCATATAAGATTTGTCAGTATCTCTCCTGACAAGGTTGTTCTGTATGATGATTTGTTACCAAAGAAGTTACGTCATGATATACTGAATTGTCACGTGAAAAAGATTATCAATCAAAAATCCCAATGTTGCCACCAAGAATAGGACAAAAACCTGATATTGATTCACTTATCGTTAACAAAAAGCAAGCAGTATGGATCTCATCAAAAATTGTTGAATCAACAAGGCGACTTCAAGAGAATCAAAGGACAGCTATGGTGCAAGGTGGTCATAAATTTACTCTACTTTATAGACAAAGTAGAAATGGTAACACAGTTGCAAATTTTAGAGAATTGTGTAATAATAAAGGGCCCACAATTGCTGTTGGGAAAGTGTTGGGTACTGAAGAAATACTTGGTGGATATAACCCAATTGCATGGAGCTTCAAAAACGTGTGGGTTGACACTAAAGAAAGTTTTATATTTGCATTAGATAAAGACTTAGATAAAAGTATAGTAAGTTTTGGTAATCAGTCAGGTAGTGATACCATTCTTGATCATAGTGATTATTTTCCTTGCTTTGGACTAGGCTATGATTTGTTTTTTGGTAATGGCACAGCAGATGACAAACCTTATGCTAACAAAAATACATATGAAGTTCCAATAAGAAACTCATCAGACAGATTTGAATGGGTTGATTGGGAGGTGTTTCTAGTTTCAAAAGTTTGATTTAAGTTTTGTTTACATCATTATTGCAAAGCTTGGTGATTGGAATTGGTATCAATAAATGCTGTATAATCATTGTATTAGAATCACAGTATAAGTATGAGGAAATAAATTTGCATAATTGTTATTGGCTTGATCTCCACTAAGCTGAAGTTACATTGTTGCAATAGCTCTACTTGTCATAAAAACCTGTATGCAAATTCTCTTGCAAATTTATTGCTTTATTTAGCAATTAGCCATTTGTTGTTGTGCTGTTAACCAGTTGATTTGATCAGTATGACAATGTAAGCAGAAATCAGGGGACTAAAATGTGCAATATAAGGAGTTGCCTTACATGCTTTCATTCCACAATGATTAGAAATATTGCCAAGTCTTATTCTTCAAGCACTTGATAAAACCATGTCTCACAATGTTAATGTTGTCTTGGTGGTGGGCGGAAACAAAAAAATGTTCTGTCACCACTGTTGCCAATAGAGAGGATATTAAAGAGGGTTCGGCGCGTATCATGTACTGTATTTGAGTAATAGTATCTTTTGATATTGTGATGTATAGAATTGTCATGCAATAAATCGAATAAATTTTATTCAAGTAAAATATTTGTTGATTACTTACCGGCGAAGAGAAGGAAATGCGTATGTAATAACTGAGTAAGTATGCGTGTTTCTAGTTTCTATAACCTGCGAAACTTGTGGCACTAATTAATAGGTACTGATTCAGATTACATAAGACTATGGCTAGTATGTAATACAACATCATTAAACGTTACTTACCCAAAAAAGTAAGCTAATTATTTGTTTTATAGTATTTGGTTTTACAACAGAGATTACATGTAATACGCAATTATATATTAATTAACGTGGCAACTGCCTTTAATATTAATTCGTGCCAGAATCATCGGGCGAATTAACGTACAGGTCGAATTAACGACAAACGTACTTAAGGAAGAACAATCAAATTATAGGGAAATCGAATTATAGGGAGACAAATTATCGGCAGTCAACTTCAACGTTTTTTCAAATCAGCTTTGTAACCTTTTCCATTTCCGGAATACAGTAATATGACCGGATAAATACGACTGGACAGTTATGGTCGTATCCCTTAAACCGTCCGTTTTAGCGGGAAAATTTACCCGCTAAAAAATAGAGCACGGGACAAATTTTTTATACTAAAGCTTAGTTTAAATTAACTGGAACAACTCCTGAAAAGTCAGGCTACATGATAATAATAAAGCCACACACTGGCGTATGTCATACGTCCCAAACAAATGGCTTAATTTCAAGTTAGGTGAAATTTGGCAGCTCCAGCCACGGGTTATTCTGAATGACTGCTCAAGCAATTCATTTCAACTACTACACATCTGGACAAAGAAATGTACTATATAACATGGATACATGTTCATAAAAGATTTTTCCGTTATTAAGGTTAGTCCGCTGAATAATTTACGAAGATTAATTTTAGGTGTCCTCTTCTCCATCCTCTGCAATGTCTGATTCTAGATCGTCTATGAGATGACGAGATGGTACATATTCTTCATCCTTATCAGTATATTGTTCTGTAGTTTCAAGAGTAAGAGAAAAGTTGAACTTGAAAGTAATGTATTTTGTCTGACATACCTTCCATGGTATATTAGGTTACTATTATATAGGGGACATAGAGAATGTGCCAACAGTATTTCTTTTTTGTGGTACAAGGTCAAACCCAAACCCGATAAGCTGAAAACCCCGTTAGACCGAACCTTTTTTTGAAATCCGCACTTTAGCATGTCCGACAAACCGAAGTTACTATTAAACCTCCATAAATCGTAAACCGAAGATTTCTATATCAAAATTTACCCCGAATAAAATGAGTAACAATTTATTTAAGCCAATAATATCATCCACCTTTGTAAACTGAATGTTGAGCATATTTCGACCAATTATATTTGTCTATAAAAAACTGTTAATAACTTTCCTAGAACAATGAGTTAAATTAATGTAAAAAAAAAAATACGTCAATCAATCTCTGACTTTAAGGTTTAATCTCAAATAAGCAGTTATTTCACAAGCTGCTAGTGTAGTAAGCTTATGTTATAAACGAATAAAGAGTAGTGTTTACGATATATATTATCTGGCAGCTTGAGCACTTACCCCGTTTATCCAAACGTATGTTTCCCTGAATATACACTTCGGTTTATAGAACCCGCTAATCCGAAGAACGATAGTGCCTACACTTTCATTTTGGCTTAGAAAAGGGGGAGATTGATTGGTCAAAATTAATTTAAGCTTGCCCGCTAGACGGTTTAAGGGATAGTACGCAGTAGCTACGGATCACAAATCTTACGCCGCCTCGTTATGTGTGATTGTTCAAATTGTAGATCAATGAAACAAGGAGCTTCATTATTACTAATGAAAAGTTTCCCCTTTTCCTATTTATAACCTCAGATATGATCTGCCCAATACAGTCCACTCTCTATGCCAAGTCTTATTCCCAAGCTCGGGAATTAGTAAATATATGCCGTTATATGAAATCCACCCTCTCTTTATGCACGCCCGTGATTTTCATGTGATTTTGTACAAAGAGTGTGACTTGTAATACTTTGTCTTATTGGTTACACTTTGTTTCTATTTGAAAGAAATTTGTGAATCGTTGATACAGTCTTTATCATTCCTTCGTTTAATATTAGTTCGTTCCTTTTGCAACAGCAAGATTCTAAGGAGTTACTTAAATATGTTATGCTCTTGATTACTACATTTGACAAATGCAAACAACCATAGACAATTTTTTAGTCAAAAATAGTAAACAGGTATTTTAATGTTGTATTTCATTATCTGAATAAAATATATAACACGTGCAACCAATAAAATGCCCCTTCATATATGCACGCGGCGTGCATATATGAAGGGTGAACTGTATTTAATATTTTATGTAGTCATAGTAATAGATGCTTTATAATTATTACGATTACGGTTTTCGCACAGAGATTTTCGTTATTAGTTAACCAATTCCAACTACTAATAAAGGAACGCAAACCTCCAACAGTCGGCCGTAATTGACATAATTTGTTTGCTAGTTGCAATTTCGTTGAGACAAAGATGATGTCAGTAAATGGATGGAGGGTCTTTATTGATTCGCTTCATGTGCATCCAGACTAACGATAAAAGTAGTGCACAAATAGATCTTTTTCGGTTTAGAACTTGTTGCTATTACAAAATTGTTTAATGTCAGTTTTAACACTTAACCAAACGTGTACTCTAAAACCAAGGAGTAACACACAGCAGTGACCATAAATATAAAGGAATTTAATCCTGTTATTGATTGTCAGTTCTGCAATTATTATGATCGACAACTTTCGCTATCTTTTGTTATTTGTTCTTATTTTCTGTTCCATAGCGGCGGTTCGGGCTTATACAGTGCAAGTGTATGATGACCCTGACAATGTTTATTTCATATCATCTAGCTCTGACGTAAAGTATGGCTTTACGTACCCAAACGGCACAGGATTGATGCAACTCCTCAATTCGAATAATGAAACCAATAATTTGTATATACGTCTGTTACACCTAAACGGCACGATGACGAAATTTACTGTACCATTGGTCTGCGATACCTATTGCATACAGCGCGCTTACCCGCTTAATGACGGGTATGTGTTCGTAACGCTGACGAGCGCTAACAAAACTGCGAATGGAACATTGGTCGATTGGAGTGGGCGGATATTACAAAGGTAAGATTGAGGAATACAAGCTAAAGAGTGAATGAATAAAAAGTGGATAAATCATGTTATTAATTAAAAAAATGTATCTAACTAAACGCATTTTTGGTATTCGTGGATAGTGACATGCTACTTACCGATGTTCCTGTCGACGGTAAATCACCACCACTTGCAAAAACGAATGCCAACGTGAATGAGAATTTTCTTGTGGCAACTAGAGATGGTAATACGGTTTTATGGAAAATTTTTAGCGCCCCGTGAGTATAAACATTAGCAACTTGCAGAATGTGAACAATTTGATTTAAAATTTCTTTTAAAATTTCCTTTTCAAAAATTAGCAATAACACGGGTCAAATAACCCAATTGTATGGAGGCAGTATCACGGGAAATGATGACAACCTTCTGGTCGATCACGAAATCGTTCCTACGACAGAAGGCGGTTATGGGATAGCCATTTTAAAACGTATCCCAACATCCACTCAGGATCCACTCAGCTCTCCTCCGCAATGGTTTTTGTATGTCGCATTCTGGCAACCCGGTTCTCCACAATTTGACATACCCCGTCTGGTCTGGCAGAACCCCAACCCACTCCTTGACAATCGCCTAGTGATAAACGGGTGCAGTGTGGCTGTTGACGGAACGGGATACTTTTGTATTGTAAAAATTTCTACCACGGATGGTTATGATTACGTGAAAGTGGCATTCCTATCTGGTGGTTTGGTAACTAATGTCAATGTGATTGTGAATAGTACGGCCGCTGGATCTGTTGTGAAGGAAGTAATTGGAATACGGCAGCTGCCGTATGGCGGATTTATGACGGTCGAAGTGAACACCGGGTCACCTTATGAGGCATCTGTCAGGGACGGAGATGGAGCAATTCTGCAAACCTATAAGTTGCCAGGAGACGGTGGCACCGGTGATTTTGCTGTATTTCCGAATAATACTGTATGGGCAGGAAGTCGGGGGTCGTCGAACATATCGGTGGCTTTTATACCCCTTCCTAAACTATTGCAAGGTGAGCAATTTACAATTCATAGCATGACAAATGAGTGCATTTAAGATTATTGATCATTTGCATTATCTCAATGCTTTTCTTTCTACTTTCCAGACGCTGGATTCAAGAATCTTCTTGTTAATTCATCAATTCCGCCATCAGGCTCATCTGTCTCTTCAGACACTACAAATATTACATTGATATTCAGGCAGCAGATCGCTCTTTCGGCACAAAACATTTCAGTTTACCAAGCAACAGACGGCAATCATATCCTCAGACAGGGATTTAGTGCAAAATCTGGTTTCTGTACAGTTACGTTAAACGACTCGGCGGTTACATGCTCAATATTCAAGAGTACTTTCAACGAACCTGGTGCTACATATGATATCGTCGTGGATAACAATTTTGTAATGAGTAAGAGTTTGAACCAGCCACTGACCGGAGTGACAGAAGGAAATTGGGTGTATTATGGAGGTATGGAGGTATATGATTGACTATTAAAATATTTCTTAATTGTTGAATATTCGTTTGCTTATCGGAAATGTTTTGAATTTATTAGCTTCAACGGAAGGAAAACATGCAGGTAAAGCATCACAGTGATTGCCGTATAATGTGTCATATGGTATGACTAACAGTTTATTCCCTCTAACAGCTACCACGACAGGTCTTCTGAGGTTGACACCTGAAGGAACGACGTTATTTGAACAATTATCTACTGGCGATAAGAAAGCTTTCCTTGACTCTATGGTTGCAAAGCTTGCCGAGCTCATCCCCATCGATCCGTCACGTATAACCACCAACAAACGCAGCCAACCTGATCCCAATGCACCAGCTCGTCAGATATTGTTTTCAGTCACTCTCAAGTCGTCTGACGATATGTCACAGAGAACAGTGCATCAGATTATTGATGATCTCGACGAGCTAATTAAGAATAAAGGTTATACTTCGTTTTCGCAAGAGTATCCTACTAGCTACCTAGATGAAACGTTTGGGTTTTTACCTGTTGGTATGTAAATTACGAGGTTAAAGTTGCTTTTTATTGTTATCGTAAATGAAACTAATACACTACCAATGAAACTTTCCTAGCCAATTTGTGGGACGCTTGCAAATTTAAATTCATTGGAGTGCTCATCGGTCTCTTAATATTAGCAATATTATATTTTTGCGTGAGACAGAAGTATCCAGAGGTGAGTTGTCCTGTATAATTAATATTGATACTGTTGCTTATACAAAATGTTACGATTTCTAATACCTGAAACTATTTCACTAGGGTCAAAGCTTTTTTATCGTAAAACTTGCGCTAATAATCGCAGACTTGAGTCTTTATTTAGCATTCGTACTGTCAAGTGCAAAGAAGGTTTCACAGACACATACACCAAGGTATTACTCATTTGGTTTATGATTATTGCAAACATGATACATCTCTACCAAATTAAATTTGTTAATTATGTAATATATTTATTCTGTTTTCAGTATAATCTTTTTAATAGCTCCTATTATTTTCAATTCTGGCCTGGCATTCTTAATAGTAATGAAGGAGATACGTAAAAATGCTAAATTTCGAGGGTGGTTTAAGCAGAATATAAAAGCAGCTTCATTGTTCACTTTGCTAGCAGCTGCTGATGTTGAGATTGTTGCTTTGCTCGGATCCAAATTTGCTGGCTTGAAGATGTTTTCTGCACCATTGTCAAAGACTGCATTGAATCAGGTTTTCTGGGGTAGCATATTGAATTTGTTTATTGAAGATATTCCTCAGTTGATCATCCTGGTATGTAAAGATGATGTTGTTGAACTGGAATAATGCAAGTTCTAACTATTGAATTATTGCCATTCATAGATTTTGTATAGGCGTTTAACAGTCTCACATGATATTATTCCATTCTTGTCATTTGTAATGAGTTCTGCTGCCTTGACTTCTAGTATTGTTGGACATATTTATGATGGATATATAAAATTGAAAGAAAAAAGACAAGGCCACAGTATACCAGAAGATGAAAAACACATCACTGATACTGATGATTTACAGGAGGCTGAATGAGATAGACCAGAACTATATACGAGTAGAAAATAGTTATCAAATAATGAGTATCCTATCCATCAACGATTTTCTTTATGAACATTCTCTCAAAGTGCTTTGTGTCTTAATAAAAGTGATGCTTAATAATCTGTCCGTTGTATATACAGTAGCTATCAGTTCACGATGCACCATGATTCATTATGAAAGAGTCTCAGCATGTGTTGCCTTAGTCTAATAAGGGTCTTGGAGCTTTATACTTGACGACTTGTATCAGAAGATAAATCCTCAGCACGAAGCAGACATAAGCCATCTTTATACTTTGTTTTAATCAGAAAATAGGTCTGTCGGAATGCTGACGATGCGTAAATCAACAATAATCCAAATACTTGATCTGGGTAATGGGTGCATAGTTAATAAGAAATAAGTCAATTCTTAAACGCGCGTACGACAGTTATTCAACTTATGATATTACGGCACATTCACAAGTATGTACAGTATTCCATTTAATCACAAGTAGGCTCGTTATTGCTAATTCCGTCCATTTGGCGGTCCTTATGAACCAGATGTTATCCAAATTAACGTATAAGAAGTATTTCTGCAATACCAAAGGATTTTAATACGTGTAATTTCAAGAATCGAAAGTTTATCCATAACAAAAAGTCACACCCGTTTATTTAATAACCTGTATTCCAATTGGAAAATATTCATCGATTGCACACATGCGACGTTTAACCAATAACATAATGTACATAGCTTTTGTTATGTGACTTTATCGACATCAGGCTACGATTATTGTGTATACGGGGCGGTACATCGAGTTCTATCTCATGTGACTAATACAACTCACTGTAATGCATAGCATGGGGTGTTAGGGTTAGGTTTTGAATAAATGGCATCATCCGTAATGATATTATTTGAATTAAAGAATAAGATATTCGGGCAATTAATAATAGTCAGAATTACATTTTGCCAAGATAGACTATGAGAAAAAAATCTGTCATAACAGACTTTGCAATATTGTAGAGTATTAGTATAAATTTAATTTGATATCAGTGAGGTACAATCTGAATATATGTTGATAGGGATATCAACGGGGTATGACATCAAATTTGATATATGCGGGTGGGGATTTATTTATGGGAAAATACGTTCTGTAACCACTGTTGCTAATAGAGAGGGGTTGATTTTAACGGGGTTGATATTAGAGAGGGTTCGGCGCATATCACGTATTTGAGTAATAGTATCCTTTGATATATTGTGATGTGATGTATAGAATTGTCATGCAATAGATCGAATAAATTTTATTCAAGTGAAATATTTGTTGATTACTAACCGGTGAAGAAAAGGAAATGCGTATGTAAGTAAATTATACTATTTTGTATAACTGAGTAAGTATGTGTGTTTCTATGACCTGCGAAGCTTGTGGCACTAATTGATGGGTACTGATAAGACTAGCTAGTATTAGTATGTAATACAAAATCATTAAAATTGCTTACCCCAAAAAATATGCTAATTGTTTGGTTTATAATATTTGCTCTTTTTAACAGAGATTATATGTAATACGCAATTATATATATTAATTAATATTGATTAACCAGCGGGTAATACAGCCAACTGCCTTTAATTCGTTCCGGAGTCATCGGCCGAATTAACATACTTAAAGAAGAACAATCATATTAAACAATCGGGTCTTGCTCAAGGCGATCGAATTATAGGGAAAGTTGAATTATAGGGAGTCGAATTATCGGTAGTCATGTATATACTTTAACGTTTTTTCAAATCAGCTTTGTAACCTTTTCCATTTCCGGAATACAGTAATATGATCGGATAAATGCGATTGGACAGTTAGGGTTTTATAGTGCGCAGTAGCTGCGAATCACAAATCTTACGCCTCCTCATTATGTGGTATGTCTATCTGAATCTTGTTCAAAGAGCAGAGCATCTTGTAGATCAATGAGATGGATGAAACACGGAGCAAAGATTGGTATGTAAGGTACAAGTTAGTTTTCTGAGTGGCCTAGCTTCATTATTACTAATGAAAGTTTCCCATTTCCTATTTATAACCTCGGATGTGATTTGCCCAATATTTAATATTTTATGTAGCCATAGTAATATAGTAATAGATTGTTACGATTTCGTGCCGAGATTTTCGTTACTAGTTAACCAATTCCAACTACTAATAAAGGAACGCAATCCTCCAACAGTCGGCCGTAATTGACATAACTTGTTTGCTAGTTGCAATTTTGTTGAGAGAAAGAAGATGTCAGTAAATGGATAGAGGGTTTTTATTGTTTCGCTTCATGTGTTGGCTTATCCAGACCTACGACAAAAGTAGTGCACAAATAGACCTTTTTCGGTTTAGAGCTTGTTGCTATTACAGAATTGTTTAATGTCAGTTTTGACCCTTAATCAAACGTGTACTCTAAAACCAAGGAGTAATACACAGAGACAATAAATATAAAGGAATTTAATCCTGTTGTTGATTGTCAGTTCCATCCCGTTCTTGCAATTATTATGATCGACAGCTTTCGCTATCTTTTGTTATTTGTTCTTATTTTCTGTTCCTTAACGGCGGTTCGGGCTTATATAGTGCAAGTGTATGATAACCCTGACAATCTTTATTTCATATCGTCCAGCTCTGACGTAAAGTATGGCTTTACGTACCCAAACGGCACAGGATTGATGCAACTCCTCAATCCGAATAATGGAAACAATACCGACAATAATTTGTATATACGTCTGTTACACCTAGACGGCACGTTGACGAAATTTACTGTACCATTGGTCTGCGATACCTTTTGCATACAGCGCGCTTACCCGCTTAATGATGGGTATGTGTTCGTAACGCTGACGAGCGCTAACAAAACTGTGAATGGAACATTGGTCGATTGGAGTGGGCGGGCATTACAAAGGTAAGGTTGAGGAATACAAGCTAAAGAGTGAATGAATAAAAAGTGGATAAATCATTTTATTAAAAAAATGTATCTAACTAAACGCATTTTTGGTATTCGCGGATAGTGACGTGCTACTTACCGATGTTCCTGTCGACGGTAAATCACCACCACTTGCAAAAACGAATGCCAACGTGAATGAGAATTTTCTTGTGGCAACTAGAGATGGTAATACGGTTTTATGGAAAATTTTTAGCGCCCCGTGAGTATAAACATTAGCAACTTGCCGAATGAGAACAATTTGATTTAAAATTTCCTTTTTCAAAAAATTAGCAATAACACGGGTCAAATAACCCAATTGTATGGAGGCAGTATCACGGGAAATGATGACAACCATCTGGTCGATCACGAAATCATTCCTACGACAGAAGGCGGTTATGGGATAGCTATTTTAAAACGTATCCCAACATTCACTCCGGATCCACTCGTCTCTAAAGTGTTCAGCTCTTCTCCGCAATGGTTTTTGTATGTCACATTCTGGCAACCCGGTTCTCCACAATTCGATATGCCCCGTCTGGTTTGGCAGAACCCCAACCCACTCCTTGACAATCGCCTAGTGATAAACGGGTGCGGCGTGGCTGTTGACGGAACGGGATACTTTTGCATTGTAAAAATTCCTACCACGGATGGTTATGATAACGTGAAAGTGGCGTTCCTATCTGGTGGTTCAGTGACTAATGTCAATGTGATTGTGAATGGTACTGCCGCTGGATCTGTTGTGAAGGAAGTATTTGGAATACGGCAGCTGCCGTATGGCGGATTTCTGACGGTCGAAGTGAACACAGGTTTTTTTACCGGGTCACCTTATGAGGTATCTGTCAGGGACGGAGATGGAGCAATTCTACAGACCTATAAGTTGCCAGACGGTGGCGTCGGTGATTTTGCAGTATTTCCGAATAACACTATATGGGTAGGAAGTCAAGGGTCGTCAAACATATCTCTGGCTTTTATACCCCTTCCTAAACTATTGCAAGAAGGTGAGCAATCTACAATTCATAGCATGACAAATGAGTGCATTTACGATTATTGATCATTTGCATTTATCTCAATGCTTTTTTTTTTTACTTTCCAGACGCTGGATTCAAGAATCTTCTTGTTAATTCATCAATTCCGCCATCAGGCTCATCTGTATCTTCAGATACTACAAATATTACATTGATATTCAGGCAGCAGATCGCTCTTTCGGCACAAAACATTTCAGTTTACCAAGCAACAGACGGGAATCATATTCTCAGGCAGGGATTCAGTGCAAACTCTGGTTTCTGTACAGTTACGTTAAACGACTCGGCGGTTACATGCTCAATATTCAAGAGTACTTTCAACAAACCTGATGCTACATATGATATCGTTGTGGATAACAATTTTGTAATGAGTAAGAGTTTGAACCAGCCACTGACCGGAGTGACGGAAGGAAATTGGGTGTATTATGGAGGTATGGATTGACTATTAAAATATTTCTTAATTGTTGAACATTAGTTTGCTTATCGGAAATGTTTTGAATTTATTAGCTTCAACTGAAGGAAGATATACAGGTAAAGCATCACAGTTATTACTGTATAACATGTATACATACGGTATGACTGACAGTTTTATTTCCTCTAACAGCTACCACGACAGGTCTTCTGAGGTTGACACCTGAAGGAACGACGTTATTTGAACAATTATCTACTGACGATAAGAACGCTTTCTTCGACTCTATGGTTGCAAAGCTTGTCGAGCTCGTCCCCATTGATCCGTCACGTATAACCACCAACAAACGCAACCAACCTGATCCCAATGCACCAGCTCATCAGATATTGTTTTCAGTCACTCTCAAGTCGTCTGACGATATGTCTCAGAGAACGGTGCAGCAGATTATTGATGATCTCGACGAGCTAATTAAGAATAAAGGCTATACTTCGTTTTCGCAAGAGTATCCTACTAGCTACCTAGATGAAACGTTTGGGTTTTTACCTGCTGGTATGTAAATTACGAGGTTTAGGCTGCTTTTTATTGTTATCATAAATGAAACTAATACACTATCAATGAAACTTTCCTAGCCAATTTGTGGGATACTTACAGATTTAAATTCATTGGAGTGCTTATCGGTCTCTTGGTATTAGCAATATTATACTTTTGCGCGAGACGGAAGTATTCAGAGGTGAGTTGTCCTGTATGATTGATGTTGATACTGTTGCTTGTACAATATGTTACGATTTCTAATACCTGAAACCATTTTACTAGGGTCAAAGCTTTGTTGTCATAAAATTTGCACTAATACTCACAGACTTGAGTCTTGATATAGCATTCGTACTGTCAAGTGCAAAGAACGTTCCACAGATACATACACCAAGGTATTACTCATTTGGCTTATGATTATTGCAAACATGATACATCTCTACCAAATTAAATTTGTTAATTATGTAATATATTGTTCTGTTTCCAGTATAATCTTTTTAATAGCTCCTATTGCCTTCAATTCTGGTCTGGCATTCTCAATATTAATGAAGGAAATAAGCAAAAATGCTAAATTTCAAGAGTGGTTTAGTCAGAATGTAAGAGTAGCTTCAATGCTTACTTTGCTAGCAGGTGCTGATGTTGAGGTTGTTACTTTGCTTGGATCTAAATTTGCTGGCTTGGAGATGTTTTCTGCACCATTGTCAAAGACTGCAGTGAATCAGGTTTTCTGGGGTAGCACATTGAATTTATTTATTGAAGATATTCCTCAGTTGATCATTCAGGTATGTAAAGATGGTGTTGTTGAATTGGAATAATGCAAGTTCTAACTATTGAATTATTGTCATTCATAGATTTTGTATAGGCATTTAACAGTCTCATATGACATTATTCCATTCTTGTCATTGGTAATGAGTTCTGCCATCTTGACTTCTAATATTATTGGACGTGTTTATGATGGATACATAAGATTGAAAGAAAAAAGACGAGGCCACAGTATACCAAAAGATGAAACTAATGAATGAGAATAGACCATGACTATTTATTATTATTTGCTTTCCAAAGCTTTTCCAAGAGTAGATAATTCAACTGGCTGTTATATTAATATATTGTATATACACAAAAATTACTGATAAAAAAAACCAATACAATTCAAGATTGCTAACAGATTTCGGTTCTTCATTACAATTAATGTCAGATGTTTGGAAAAACATCGCTCCAGGCTATTAAATTGTTCTTTTTCCAGTGATATTGAATCCCTAACACCAAAGGCTCTTTTAGATGACACCATTCCTTTAGTTTCAATGTTTACACAACAATTTTTAGACCGGGCAATTGCGGATAGATACGTATATCGAGGCTGTGTGAAAATATGACAAAGAAACTATAAAACAAAAAACATTGTTTTTTTCCCAGACGTTTGGTATTCACCCGATTCTAAATGTACCTTGTCTTATTTATTAACAAGAAGTTTTATTAGGCAACTTCGTATAATAAAGAACGGCTGATGATGCATTGAGATCGTCTAATGGTTATCGTATTGATCAAGCGTAAAATATATTGTATTCTTTCTGCTCAGCGGGTGTTGTGTATTCTATAAATGTTAAGAAAATCTAAGTGCGCCGTATACTCACCAACTAAGCATTCAAATATGGAATATTGTATTTATTGTTAATAAGAATATTATTGAATTTAAAAACCTAAATCAATCGGTCTTAGCATGTCGAAGGAGTTATCACTGACTCGCTTGCTGAAATGTCATCGGATGTGGATCACGTGCTACCAGCTCTTATAAACCGCGAATTACAAGTTTATTCAAAAAAGAGTTTGAGTATCTAAATTATAAGAAATGCACGGCGTTAATATTGTAAATTGACTTTATTTGTACCAACATGTAACTATACCTGCAGCTGAATCCATATCATAGCTATTTCTTGGTTTAGGTAGATCTCCTGTAGGTAAGAGTGTACTAGAATATTTACTCTCCTTCTCGAGGCGTGATAGCGGTTTTACATCATTATGGTAGATAGCATTCCACGTATTGTCATCAGAATTATCATACAGTTCTTTAAGCTTTCTAATATCACTCCGAATTGTCTCTGCATCTGGACGCTTATCAGGATCAGCATCACAACACCGCTCGACAAGTTTCTTGTATTCCTCTGGTGCAGAATCAGGCATTGATGGTCGTAGTCCGCCCATAATGCTGCATACTAAATCTCTATCGAACTGCCTATCTCTAAAAGGTGGTTCACCGGTAGCAATCAAATACATAATGATACCAAAAGAGTATACATCTGATTTCTGAGTAAATTTGCAGGTATCGAAGACTTC